AGAACATCCACAGAGTCTACATGCAGTAAGTGAATGCTCAGGTCTGTATTATGGTAGAGGCACAATGAATCTCCTTCAATCTCAGATGGTGTGAGTGGAATCAGTCCCTAAGGTTATCTTAGCCTTTCATCTTGGTTCTGTCACTCTAGCAGCTGATGATGTAGTCTAATGTCAAGAGCTCTACCATCAACAAAACACTCTTCAGCTCAGTGTAAGACTTTGTGTCCCCAGGTGGTAGGAATTCTCAGAGAAGTATGTGGGGTAAGATCTGGAGTAGACAGTGACTTCTCAGAAGACCCTCCTTTAAAAAAGTGAAAGATTTCTTGGTTCAGAGTGAAGAGTTAGACAACAGACTGCTTACAGGGGGGCAATGAGAGGAATTTTGGGGCAGAAGGGGTGAGTGCACAGAAGTACAGATAAGACTCAGAGAAATGCTGTCCTTCAGCAGGGCAAAACTTATTGTCACAGTCTTGAGACAGATTATACACCTCTATGGTGCTCTGCCTATTCTTTTCATCTTGCACCTTCCTATTTTAGAACAGTATAGCAGGAACTGCGTCTTCTGTATGCAGAAGCTTTCTTCCATGTGCAATGCAAGCTCCTGATAGCAAGAGAGTAAGTGCAGATGAGCAAGGGGGAGAGACAGCAGGAACAGAGGACGTCACTGGGAATGGACTAAATTCTCAGTATACTGGATACTGCTAGCCCACCTGTGAGAACTATCCGTCTAGGTTTGCAGCCCCAACACAAATTTGTCTCTGTTTGCTGGCTTGTTTCCGCATGACTACTTTCTTTTGACCAAGGAGGACCAGACTGCTGCAGAGCCAAGCAAGTGATGCCTCTTTCACCTGTGCACCTTTCATCAGTGCACAGAAATGGGCAAGCTGCTGTGCCAGGATCCCTGGTTCCTTCACAGATCAGCTTAAAGGTCCCTCAAGCAGCTGGTGGCAGTTCAACAGCTTCAGCATCTACAACATGGGCCCTCCAGCCTGCTCCTGAAGTGCAGCTGGTGAGGGTTATTTTGGAGGAGATGGGGTGCAGAAGAGCGTATTTCAACACCACACTCAGAGTAGACCCACTGGTGGAGCACAGAAAAAGCCATCACTGCAGGCAGAACTAGAGAGCACAAGGGCTGGTTAAACTGATGTTAAGGAATCATCTACCTGGGCTTCTGTAAAGTGTTCGACACAGTCCCCCACAACATCCTTCTCTCTAAATTGGAGAGATATGGGTTTGATGGGTGGACTGTTCAGTGGATAAGGAATTGGTTGGATGGTCACATCCAGAGGGTCGTGGTCAATGGCTCGATGTCCACATGGAGACCGGTGACAAGTGGAGTCCCTCAGGGGTCCGTACTGGGACCGGTGCTATTTAACATCTTCATCAATGACATAGACAGTGGGATCGAGTGCACCCTCAGCAAATTTCCAGATGACAACAAGCTGAGTGGTGCGGTTGACACACCAGGAGGACGAGATGTCATCCAGAGGGACCTGGACAAGCTGGAGAGGTGGGCCTGTGTGAACCTCATGAGGTTCAACAAAGCCAAGTGCAAGGTCCTGCACCTGGGACGGGGCAACCCCCCATATCAGTACAGGGTGTGGGATGAAGCAGCCCTGCGGAGAAGGACTTGGGGGTACTGGTGGATGAAAAGCTGGACATGAGCCGGCCATGTGCGTTTGCAGCCCAGAAAGCCAACCGAATCCTGGGCTGCATCAAAAGCAGTGTAGCCAGCAGGTCGAGGGAGGTGATTCTGCCTCTCTGCTCTGCTCTGGGGAGACCTCATCTGGAGCACTGCGTCCAGCTCTGGGGCCCTCAGCACAAGAAGGACATGGACCTGCTGGAGTGGGTCCAGAGGAGGGCCACCAAAATGATCCGAGGACTGGAGCACCTCTCTTCAGCCTGGAGAAGAGAAGGCTGCGAGGAGACCTTATTGCGGCCTTCCAGTACTTAAAGGGGGCCTACAGGAAGGATGGGGAGAATCTTTTTAGCAAGGCCTGTTGTGACAGAACAAGGAATAATGGATTTAAACTAAAGAAGAATAGATTTAGATTAGACATAAGAAATAAATTTTTTTCAATGAGGGTGGTCAAGCACTGGAACAGGTTGCCCAGAGAGGTAGTGGAGGCCTCATCCCTGGAAACATTCAAGGTCAGGTTGGACAGGGCTCTGAGCAAACTGATCTAATTAAAGCTGTCCCTGCTCACTGCAGGGGAGTTGGGCTAGATGACCTCTAAAGGTCCCTTCCAACCCAAAGCATTCTATGATTCTATGAATGCACATTACCTGTGTTCCTGCCTTGGAAGAGCTTTAACAAGGGGCCCAAGCGTATTACGGGGCACCTCAGTTTCTCCCCATTGGCATTCGCAGGACTACAGCAGCAGTGCAAAAAGGCACTGTTATCTCTCATTTAAGCAGAGAGATGAAGACAACTAGACCAGCCAAGTCATCTCAAGAAGAGCTGAAGCTCAAGGATTTGGAACACAAATCACTTAACTGTGCAATGCACTGCCTGCTATGATAGGCTCTCTGTACATCCTGTTCATCCCTTCACAGACTGACACTTGAAAACCCAGCAGACACAAACGCAGTGAAAGGACAGGCTAAGTTAGGTGCACAGCCCTGATACTACACCAGACAGGATTACAGGATGACCTGGTCATGTTCTCATGGCACCGAACAAGGCAGCTTGTTCCACTCAGAAGTCCCAGCCCAATTCTGCCCCTGTCCTCCCCTGCCAGCTCACTTGCATTTGGCAGCACCACTGGTTGAGTGCTTCCCAAATTACTATGGACTTACAGAAAGCTTTAGAAACAAGTACAACAGAGGCAAAGACAAGGTAAGCTTGGATGAAGCCAGAGCTCTTACCAAAATAAGTACTGGTTGAATGTCTTCAGACATGGGTACCCTTCAGTCCTCCCTTCAGGCTAGAGGAAGGAAGCAATTTATATCTCCTGCCTTATGCGGTGCCCGCTACTGTTCCAGAGAGCAATATGGGAAGAACAGGTGGGGGTACTCACAGTCAAAACCCTCACAGAACCACAATGGCCAAGATTTTACAAGGCTCCAACAAGCAGAGCTTTCCCCTTCCAGCAGGCTGAGAAGACAATATTGTGAGGGACCAAAGGAACACTCCTGAAGTACCCCTGCAGTTTATCCTGGCTCTGGGACTCACTTGTTTAGTTCCAGACCCACCACCAAAACTTTCAATCCGATTTCTTGATCCCATTCTGTTGTCTCCACCCAGACACCACACCCTTGCCTATTTCAATGCTATTTCATCGCCTCAGCAACAGCTCTGCTCTCTTTTTCTAAACTCTGCTTCCACCCTGCTTGCTACGTTCCCTTGCTGGGAGGAGAAAAACAAGGGTGGTGTAGGGAGGGACTAGCAATGTGATAGGGAGGGCTTGGATACCGATGTCCAATTTAAATCTCTTAATTTTAGAGGTGTACCATAACTACTTGCATGTAGAACATATCCGAAGGTATCCGTTCTTTGTTCTCGCTAAAAGTCTATGGAACAACTTATAAGAGTCGAGGCATTAGATCTGGAGTCCTGGTGTGATTTCAGCAAGATACAGGATTTACCACTTCCTGTAGCAACCTGCTATGCAGGATTGCTATGTGAATGCTAACTAGGTAATGTGCTCCACCTCACAGCTGCTAGATAGACACAGCTACTGAAGAATCCCAAAGACTTGTAAGACACAGGGAAGCAGAAGTTTTCAGAGTTGAAGTATGTGATGGCTACAGGGCTGCATCAAATGTTAAGTCCTGTAATTTGATCCTTACTGATACCCAGTGTGCAGCCTGCCAGTATCCACAGGACATTTCCAAGAGCTTGTCCCAAATCTCCACTGCAGAGAGCCAGACCTGAAATGCAGGAGTCTCCAGCTGCCCCCAGTCCCGCAGCCTAAGCTCTCCCAGCAACAGCCCCATGGCCTCTGGTAACCCCACAGCTTGCTAATGCGAGGTTCATAAACTGCTCTGACATCCCCATGGAAACAGAGTGTGAGGTCATAAACAGGGGATTAGCACCTCCAAGCACCCAGCACAGTGCAGGAGGCGGCTGCAGGCTTTCCCTTTGCCCACCAAAGGCCAGGGGCCATTCAGGCCAGGGAGGGGGAAGAGAGCCTGCTGCACAGGAAGGGCAGGCGGAGGGCAAATCACTGACTAGGGAAAATGGGGATGGGGCAGAGGGGAACAGGCTTGTGACAGGCCCTTGCTGGCTGCTCAGCCCCCCACCCACTGCTAGTACCCCTCCTGGGCACCCTCCTGCTGTTGGGAGCCAGGCACAAAAAGGCTAAGAGAGAGGGGACTGCTCAGCCTGGAGAAAAGAAGACTCAGGGGGAGTCTTACTGATGTTTATAAATACCTGAAGGGAGGGAGCAAAGAATATGGAGCCAGGTTCTTCCCAGTGGTGCCCAGTAACAGGACAAGAGGCAATGGGCACAAATTGAAACGCAAGGAATTCTGTCTGAACATAAGAAAACACTGTCTCACTGTGAGGGTGGTTCTCTGGAGCAAGCTGCCCAGAGAAATCGTGGAAGGTCCATCCTTGGAGATATTCAAAACCTGACTGGACATAGTCCTGGGTAACCTGCTCTAGGTGACCCTGCTTGAGCAGGGGGCTTGGACTAATGATCTCCAGAGGCCCCTTCCAACCTCAACTACTCTGTGATGCTGTGACCCTGTCTCTGGCATCCTCCTGTGACTGCCCTACTGAGTGTTAGTGATGAGGAGGTGAGTGCAGCTGAGGAAGGGAAGGCAGACTCTAACATGTGGCAGTTTCAATCCTGTGTGGATAAATAGTTTGAATGAGAGGTGGTTTGTCCTTAGAAGACTGACAAGAGAATATCATGACAGACCTTCCTTCTCTGAAATGCTATGAGTACTCTTTATGAACCCTGTTGCCTGAGGCATGTTTTACCCAGGAAATCCTTTTCCTCTTCCAATCTATTCCTGAAAAGAAAGAGATGTGGAAAGACAAGACTGTTCACCTGTTGAGCTTGGGTTTCTTGGGAATATGCCCTTCAGGAAGTGGAGGCCTGTGGTTTGGCAACAAACCTGAAACAGGAAAAGAAAGGCGTGAGAATATTTTACAGTGCCTCCTTGCCTCTATAGCATCCAGAAGTTACATTACACCTCATAAGCCAGGCAACCCAGATCCCTACTGGGACAGCACTGCAAAAACTCAAGTACTGTAGAAAGGTTATTTTATCTTTAGTCATTGCTGAACCTGCACCCCAGCCAAAGAGAAGCTAGGAGGTTCTGCTGGGTATAGAGAGGAAATAAACAGCAAAGACAGAGCCACTTGGGCTCATTGAAGAGGCTTTTTGAGAGGACTTAGAGCACTGGTGTCCAATCAGATTCCATCTCCAGGATGAAAATTACTATTAAAATTCTCAGTCCATTTAACTTGGATAGACTTGGGTACCAGGCATAAAGATCAGCACAATACTCCAACTGTGTCAACCTGGGTCCAGCTCGCAGGGTAAAGCAAAAAAGCCTTCATATGGCAGATGGTAGACAGGTGCCTGTTATTAACGGCGTAGCTCAAGCTTACATTAAATCAAGTGATTTCAGAAGCTGGTATTTAGTCATTAGTTACTAGAGACTGAGCCACTTCCTGGATCTTTCTGCAACAGTAGACTCATCTACAGGGATAAATGTCTGCTGCCAAGGCAGGAACCAAGACACATAGAAAGTGGAACAAGTAGTCTCTGGTCCATCATCCTGTCCCAGCACCTGGACCATAACGAGTTTGCTGGGTGACTGGACAATGACATCTCACTGAGCTATACTAATTGGTCAGGAGACCCCTTTCAAGGGGTTCTATGGGTACCCCACAGTAAGGGGTTGTCTCAGGAGTCAGCTAGGTACCTGCACGGTGAGCCATCTGCACACAGACAGCAATCTTCTTGTGCTCCTCCAAACAGAGGCCTGTGATCCTTCGTGGCAGCATCCCTCCATCAGAACGGATAAACTGACTCAGCAGCAGGACATCCTGAGAGAGCAAGAGAAGGGCAAACCCATCAGTCCTACAGATATTTTAACTGCTGTGGTTCTTAGGTGTTGTGCTGACCCTTGTGCTGTGTACAGAACTCAAAACAAAGCAAAACAAAACAATGATTCCTTCCTACACATTTTGGCTGCAGCCTGACAACAAGTGGCTTTTGCTTGCTGTCACTCTGCCTTGCCAGCTTAGCTCAGTCAGGTCACTCAGATGGTCTGAGTCTTCCCCTGACTTCACCAGTGTAAACACATGATGTCAGCTGCAATTCCTGCTACTTCACTGTCACTTGCTCCAAGATTCTAGCTAAGATAATGTATCCTAGGTACTCAGGCACAGTTACACAAGACCTACAGATGGACAGTGTTTACGCAACTTGAAATGCCATCACAGCTGCTATCCTAAAGGTCACAGATATGTTAGATCACCTCTAGCCCCCTCCTTTGTTCCCTCAGAGCAGGACTGTTCTCTGCTATCTACTCCTCAAACTTTTATGCAGTTTCCCATGGTGGAACTTCCCACATGTCTCTCTGGAGGGGTGGAGCGCCGGGAAATGGTCCAAGATCTTGCATGAAGAGGCTTCTTGTAAGAAAAGAACGTGTGCTGATGAGAAAGACCTAATAGGATAAATTGCTGCCTTCAGTCCTTCTACTGTGCGTGTTATGAGGTGGGGCTGTTACAACCATGCTGGATGGAAGGAGCACTCGGAGCATGCTGAGGGCTTGTCTGTGATTAAAGAATAATTTAGATTACACTGCTGTTGACCTTTCCAATTAAGAGCTCTAGAAATGTAAAGCACTCTTAATAAAAACAAATTTTTAAACACAGCAGCAACAGCTGTTGCATGAGTGTTCCATTAACTGTACACAGTACAAGAGCTGTATTTAGATACATGGTCCCCATTTCCACACAGAGCACCACTGCAAGTGTACCCCTCAGGCCAATATAGACAGGTCTCCTTGATAGGCTGATCTTGGCATAAGTTGGCCCAAAGGGCCTCTGGAGACTCTGTGCTTGTTTCTTCCCCAGCTGTTGATAGACTTGTTGCTGGTTGAGAGTTTACTTCTCCACCGCTGCTGTAAAGATGTTGTTCATAGTTGAGGTAGCTGGACCATGCAGAGGCTGCCTGCAGGCTAGAAGGGACCTGCCAGCGAGCACCCCAACAAAATGAGAATTCAAACCAGGTACGTCAGCAATTTACACCCACCCTGTCTAGGGCAACAGGTGAGAACAAAGAGTGCTTGCTGCTTTGCACGTTGGGTGACCCTGACTCTGCCTGTTCACAGATTCACAGACCTGCTCCCATCCCCCTATCTTTGCTCTTTTACAAAGAGCGCCCCGCTCCCTGGAGCATTCCTAGCTTCATTTACTGCCCTTGCAAAAGCAAACAATCAGAAGTGGATATAAAATGAATATTCATAAAACCTAGCTATCTAGGCATTATACATCCACCCCCACTGCACAAGACCAGCTCAGCTCTGAAGGGGGCTGCTGGAATTCAGTATGGCTTTCTGGTAATGACCAATTCTGACAGATGCTGTCATACAAGTGTTGCAGACAAAATTTAGAGGTTTTTGGTTTGTTTTGGGTTTTCGTAGTTTGTTTTTGTCCTTCCCCCTCCCCACCTTCAATCCCAACCTCGCTAATATCATCATGACACACAATTTCCCTCTTCCCTTATCTGGCTTCCTTTTTACCTCCATCTGTCTACAATGAATGTGTTCAGACTGATTTTCAGATCCAGCTCCTTTGCAAACATGGCAGGTTAGGCAACTTCTCACTGGTAGAAAATGACTTATCAACCCCCATACAGAGTGACATTGTATCCGAAGAACACAAAAAGCACAGCTGAGCAACTAGCAGCAAGCTCCTGAGAGGCCATCTATGGTTAGAACAGAAGCAAAGTGTCCTCAGCCCAGCTAACACATGGCCTTGCCAATGAGAACAGTAACCAGGGGACCAGTTGGTGCCAGCTGCGTTGGCGGAAACTGGACGGAAGCCAGCCAAACAGTCCAAGGGCACTGACTTTTGGCCACTCCTGAAATGCACTGGATTGGATTCAGGAAACCAGAGCAAGACTCCACCCCACTTTTTACCTCTTCTTTAGCCATCCAGTTCTCCAAATCACCAACAGCTCAATTTGCCATTTAGCACAAACATAACACTTCCCTAAGTGAAAAAGGGCTATTCAGCTCCAAGTGCCTAGAATGATAAAAACTTTCTAGACTTTTCTACTAGCCTGCTGCATTAACCTGTGTGGAAGAGGAAAAAGCAAGCTGATGGCAAGTTTGAGGCTGTTCCAGTCTTTGCAGCCGTGAAAGCCTAAGTAGGGCCACAGGTTCTTGTGAAGGCTGTGTGTGGTCCAAGTGATTTCTCATATTACCACCACGCCTCATGGAGTCACAGGCTTGTTGTCAAGTGCTTCCATGCAAAGCGGGGAAGTGGGAAGCAAAGGGTGATTGTCTTTCTTTTTCTCCCTGTGGAAAAAAAAAAAATCAGGAAAATCCATCCTCTGTTACTATCTCTGACCAACAGTGTCACCAAGTGACCAACACCCTTGTGTGGCAGTCATTTCTTAACTGAAATCGTGTATGTCCGAGCTGCTGCAGCTCCAAATTACACTCAGGCCATTTGGCTTCAAATGCTGCACACTCAACAGAAGGTTTGTCCATTTCTGAAGATCCCCATAGTTAACAGGCCAGGAGCCTCTCCCAGAGTACTTGCACAGATGGATCTTACCACAGGGAGAAAGCAGACAGGTACAGCCAACTTTATGGGGCAGCTGTGGAGGGAAGCGAACAAGCATGTGGAGCGGTCAAAGAAAAAAACATGTCTGGCAAGTTCTCATGGTGCCGTCATGTTCCATGAAATTCACATTTTGTGCTAGTGCACAGCCAAGCCTGTAACCACGGATTTGCTTTAATCACTGGACAGCTCCCACGAGGCTGGACCCAGACTCCCACCCCTGTAATATGCAGCATTTGATGAAAACAACTGGGATTGAATTAATCTAGGGCTAATACGCAAAGCTTGCAGTTTGGTTTCCCCTAATTGCTGCCAAAGCAAGATGACATATTTACTGCCTACTCAGACTAACGATGTTTGAAATGGATAAGGGGGAAAATGGAAAACAAGTTTAGCCTTCACCTCTAAAAGGGCTGGATAAGCTTGCTAAACGAAACCCTAAGTACAGCACATTCTTGTGAATGGATGGCAACCAAAATGCAGAGGCATCTCTGCATTTTAATATCTGCAGACACTTTGAAAAGCAGGATGCTTGACTAGTTACATGCGATTCATTAAAACTTTCATTTACTGCAAGAAGAGTTCTGTCTGTGTAGTCAGATTACTATTGGGCTGTATCAGGCAAGTCTGCCAGTCATTATTTCCAGTTATACAAGAGTCTAGTTTTTCCTTTCTCCCTTACTTCTGGGAGCTGTACACCACTCTCCAGGCATTTCGTAACAGGATTGCAGGTTTCAATCCAGTTGCATCCTGACAGTGACCAAAATAATTTTTTATCTCCAATGGATATGAAAAAAAATCAACTGAGGTCTCAGTTTCAATGGACAGACACACGCAGACCACAAACTGTGGGAATTTATACCTTAGGCTCTGTTATTCTGAGCCTCAGCAGAGACTAAGGACTGAACTGGCAAAGACAACTACAGCCCTCCACACCACAGCTGAGGCAGGTTGGAATCATGACCTACTAGTGCTCACAATGCTTGTTCAGTTGATTAATAACTTTGGAGACATTGGTTCCCCAGTTCTCTGACAGCCAAAGTAACTCATTATGCCACTACTTTAGACTGTGCTAGTTGCACATGACAAAAGGAAAGTCCTATGAGGTCATATTACTCAGCTCCCTCAGGGGCTAATTCAACACTTCCCTTTTCATAGTGCCTCATTCAGTCCAATTACAAGCATCCCAAGCAAAAAAGCTCACACTCTCCCTTCTGTGCAACTGACTGATCTCAGCTTATCAATCTCAAAGGAACCACTGTGATCCATCTATTCTGATCTCTTATCAAGCACAGATTACAGGTTATGCTGTATGAACTAGGCTATATCTTTAACAAAAATAGCTGTTCTCAATTTACAGACTTTTAGGACAATTAACCACCAATGAGTAAATTGCGCCACTATTTAATTACTCAGCTAAATGCCTGCACTTTATTATTTAAGCATTTCGAGATTCTGCTACTCATCACTGCTGCAGCAAAGAAAAACAGCAGAGAACGCTTTGTGCGGCAAAGGGAGATTTCATTCACCGTAACATTTAAAAGCCTGAAAATCCATGACTGGTACAAAGCATTCAAACATATAAGGGACTTATTCAAGCATAAGAGGTGGTCTACTCCAGAACTGCAATTTCTCCTAGTTTCTCATCAGCCCCACAGAGGAATGCTTCTAAATACCAAGGTAAGAACCTTCTACAATTCTGAAATACCAGTTCACGCTGCCCTCTTTAGCTTTTTGTCCAGGTTCTTCTCTGCTCTACAGCAGGAGTACTGGATATATATACATGCCAGATGCATATGCATTCAAAAACTACATGACAGCAAGGATGGACATGTTTCTAGTTTGTCTCTTGGGACCACAATTTCTTGGGAATGATCTCAGCAATGATTCTCAAGACTCTGGCTACAGGATCTCTCCTCACATTTGGTTTTCTCTTGCCTCCATACCAAACAGTAGAAATCAGCATTTAAGAATCAAACTGAACTGAAGTGTGGAAGAAAACTTGTAATCTTAGTTCACTCTACAAACATGCCTATGACTCACACTTTACATTGTCTGTTGGGACCAACAGCCTACTTCTAATCCTGGAACTCAGGCTCTACAGCATCACATTGTCCAAAACTGCTTCTTTGGTTCTTGATAGCACTGTTATCTCCATGTGCAACAGTCTTCGACCACAGACAACAGTAGAAAGTGAGTCTACATATTAATTTCCAAGATTTAATCCACTCCCATGGCTCATTTCATCCCTGAGCATCGGTTTATGGTTTCTCTGGAGCTGTTAATGCATGACTCACAGAATGCTTTCTAGAAATCCGTAGACCTACCCAGTTTAGTGATGCTGTTGACTCCTCACATTTAAAAGTCACATAAAACTATATTAACCTTAAGAAGACATTTTCCAGTATAAGTGATTGGTCTATTTTGATCACAATTCAGCAACCATGAAGAAAGAAAGAGTTGCAAGAAATCGCTGCATTCAAACTTGGGCAGCACAAAACAAACATGATCTGTTTTTGTAGTACTTTCCACACATTAATAGTATTTGCCAGTTCTCCTAATTTATTATCATTCGCAAACTCATTGTATTTTTAGCTTTCCCAGATTGCTGGGAAACCAGACCAGAGAACACTAAATACTTCCCTCCCCCAACTTATTTCACTGTTTAATATTGCATCCAGCCTGAGTCAGAATCACTGACAACACTCAGATCCTAGACAACTAATTTCTGCAACACAGGCTTTGAAAGATACTAAACTCTGGTATTTCATTTACATCTCACATCTGTTTCACCTGCCTGGAGTAACTGCAAGTATTTTGTCTGGCACTATTTCTGTACTCATGTTCTTCATAATTCATGAGTCATAATTAGTCCTATCCAACAGGTTGGTTGTTTTTACTCCTAGTTGATACCATTTTACTTGGAATTTGCAATGTTTGATTTACCAAGTGGTAATCATCAGCATCATTCTCCTTCCTCTCTCAACTACTTAGTATTTCACTTGCTATTTTCCAACCATTTGGTGATTTCTTAGGATTTTTTTCACCCTTTAAAAAAATCCTGCATGTGAAGTAATATATTTGTTAGCTAATTCCCTTAAGAACTGGGGTCTACATGCAATCCAGGCCTGCTGGTCTGTACCTAATTCAGTGCTTAAGTTATTTCTGTACTTGTTTTTTCCTGTTGTTTTACATTTACACGATTGCCATTACTACCTAGATATTAAAACATAATTTTTCTTTTGTGTGTGTGTGCTAGGATTGCATGCGAGCAGCTTAGTCATTCTGCAGCCAACGTGGCTTTCAGTCCCCTTCTCCCCTCATTAATGGACTTTCTTTGTCACAAAGATTTCTTTTCCTCCAGATCCATTTGTATCTCACCCTAATGCTATTGACATTAACTTATCCCGAGTTTTCTGTTGCCTTATCTTAGTAACAGCATGTTCCTGTCTGGTTTTCTTCTTTTCTAACTCCAGTACTGGCTTTTTAGCTTGCAAGGGGGCACTTAGTCCTTTTGTAAACTCTGTGTTTGAACTTTTGTAAAGTTACATTCTGCATTTTCCATCTCACGCTTCTTATCCTAAAGTGTTCTTGACTGTTGTGCTTCTGTTTTAAAACATTACAGGACTTCCCTCCCATCTTCCACATTTAGCGTTATTAATCCTCTCATTAGCTAATAAACTTCTCATTAGCATTTCCAGCAAAAAGATTGAATCAAACCTATCTTTTGTGTTGCAAGGGATGTAAACATGTATGCTCGCCTTCATACCCATCAAAAGTTTTAAAAGTTATATAGACCAGTTATTACCTCAGTGGACAATGATCCAATGAGAAATTTTAGTGCTTGAAGATATATAATTGATCTAGTCAAGTCTTTTGGCCTCTCTGGAGTTAGAACAGGCCTGAATCAGTTGACTGTTTGATTCTCCTGGAAGTGCAATGCTGAAAGGCAGTTGGGCACAAAAGAGATATATGGCCTTAGATCAGATGGCCACATGTATAATTCAAAACCTCCTATTTGATATGAGCTCATCCTTCTTTTTCCCCAGGAACACCATCAGCCAAGGCAAACAATTACTATGTAGGAAGCTCTTGCTACACCCAAGACAAGCAGAGATGGAGTTAACTATCTTTACTACACTCAGCAAAAGATGAGAAGGGCAGGCTGTGCGGCATGCAGATCTGAGAGCAATATTTATCTAGCTATGAGGATAGGGGAACTCTCCTTCGTTAAACTTACCACATAATTGTACTTATGCTTCAGGTTCCAGCGACAGATGGGACACTGGCCAGAGGGGTTTGGAGGAGTTGGTGTTTCAGCATCCTCTATAATTCTCCCTTCAATCTAGAAGACAATTCAAAGGATATAATGATCAGGCATAGTTTAGACCTCTGCCTGCACCTGTGACTTGACAAATACTTTTCCTCAAGTCTACAACATGTTGACCAGTATTGCAGAGATGTAAGGGGAACAGTATCTGCATTATTCAACCCGCTTATATATAGATACACCAAGCACTTTGGATATACGCAGACTATGGGAAAAAGAACAAATCCAAGGAGCACAGAGAACCATGTGGTAAAATCTTGTATATGTTTTACTAAATGTAAACTAGTTCAAAGTCAGTGTGAAGTTCTCATATTCGCCTGAATTCCATTTATTGCAGTACTCCTTTGAACCTTTAGGCCTTGAAATTGTAGTGGCCCTTTAGCCAAAAGCTTTAAAACACGTTTTTTCTTGGAATACGACAATGTCACAGAACAGCAGATGCACATTGTGGACCAAAACATGCAGGGACTTGGTAGATTATCAGTCACCAACAGGGAAAATGCTGAGAAAAAAAAATATTAGTCATTTGTCAGACTGTTAGGAGATGTCTGTGGTTTGTGGTTTTCTCCCCCCCCCTCCCCCATGCCAATGTTTTATCCAGTTTAATTCCCTGAACAATTCCTTTAAGAGATCATTTTATAATCTCTTCTATAACACTACAAAGTGGTGACATCGAACACTCAAAGTTTTCTCAAAAGTAACATGCGAAGAGATGTAGAAGGTGTGTGTGGGAAGAACTTGAGAAATTTGTTTTCTAAATGTAGATATGTTAGGAATATGAAGTCTATCTACATGTGCACTTGTCTTTTTTTGAGGACTTACGAATAGAAGCAAGAGCTATCTCAAACTGCAGCTGAATGGACAAAAAAGACAATAAAACAAAGCCATTTTTTCTCCAAAATATTTTCGAAGTTTCCTCTGGTCAAATTAAGATTAAAAACCAGCTTTTGAACACCAAGTGACAGTCTCAAATAGCGCAAGCACCAGAGAGTTTAAAAAGAAGCCCTGGGTGGAATGCAATGCTACTTTTAAGAAAAAAGCTGACTGATTTAGGCTGAACTGTCAAGTTCTGTGCCTGAAAACCTGGGAAGAGAAAAGCATGACATTTTCTGCAAGTGTGCACGGGACACTGGCACCCAGCTGAACTGTCAGAACTATTTTATACTAGGGATTTGTGTCTGTCTTGTCTAGTGACGGCAAAATGGAAACAGGTAAGTTATTTGTAGTTCAAGCATGCATGTCAGTACCTCAAAAAGAGAGAATTTTGTCAAATTTTGACTAAGATTCCTCCAACCACAAGTAGAACAGCCAGTTTTACAAAAACAAAAATGTTAACTATGAATATAAAATATAGGCCAGTATCTAATTTTCTGTTCATTGGTAAAGCTGTTCTCTCAGAAGCCGGTGTACCTGGTCTTGATTCTTGCCAGTCTGGCTTCAGACTGTACTTTGACTGTTATTCCACCTTGGAAATTAACAGAGAATTGTCAATATCAGTTTTTCTCAAGATAAATTTCAGTGTACGGTTTTTGGCAATTATTCCCCAACTACTGAGGATTTCATATTGTTAACCCACTCAGTTATTATTCTTCAGCTAGAGAATTAAGAGGAAATATAGGGGTTCTACACTCTTAGTATGATGATGAAATCCAGATTTCTCCGGGATTAATTCATCTTGTTCATGTCAAACACTTCCTTCAATATTGATAAAAGCAAGAACACATAGAAAGATGAGCATGGAAAGACAGATTCAGAAAAGACTGACATCGCATTGGCAGGATAAATGGAGTGACCAGGATATGCTGAAAAATGCACCAGCCCTTTAGTTGGTCAGTTTACACCATTTGCTACATATTTTTCTCATCTAGGGGCACTGACAGATCCTAGATTGATGCTAGGATATTATACAGTAGAAATATCCAGATCTCCCTTATGCTTCTACAATGGGCCAGGAAGAATTATTTTTCTAAAGGGCTCTGCTACTGCAATGCATACCTTTTTTACTTCAAGCCTCAGCTAATGTATTGGGACTTTGCAAATACAATTTACAACCCCTTTGAAACTGACCGAGTGCAAGGTACAGCAATCCACTGTGTGTTGTGTTGGTGTGCACACTCCCCCCTTGTTTTGGTTAAAACAATTTCAGAGCATGCTTGCAACCTCTTCTCTTTGGGTCTCTGGGCAAAGATTAGTCTGGTACTTGAGGAGAAGAAAAAGAGACTTTCCATCACACCTACTGTCACACCTCAAATTTAAAACTTTTATTGACAGTCTTAGACATCTTGCTAACTGCCTGTCGTGGTTTAACCCCAGCCAGCAACTAAGCACCATGCAGCTGCTCACTCACTCCCCCTGCCCCGGTGGGATGGCGGAGAGAATTGAAAGAGTGAGAAAACTCCTGGGTTGAGATAAGAACAGTTTAATAATTGAAATAAAATAAAGTAAAATAGTAGTAGTAACAATAATATACAAAGTAAGTGATGCACAATGCAATTGCTCACCACCCACAGACCAATACCCAGACAGTTGCCAAGCAGCAATCGGCCAACTCCCCGCAGCTTATATACCGAGCATGATATCATATGGTATGGAATACCCCTTTGGACAGTTTGGATGGACTATCCTGGCTGTGCCCCCTCCCAGTTTCTTGTGCACCTGGCAGAGCATGGGAAGCTGAAAAGTCCTTGACTAGCATAAGCAGTATTTAGCAACAACGAAAACATCAGTGTGGTGTCAGCATTATTCTCGTTCTAAATCCAGAATACAGCACTATGCAGCTACTAGGAAGAAAATTAACTCTATCCCAGCAGAAACCAGGACACCGCCATATTCTATCTGATATTATATATCTAGAATATAACCAACCAGCTCCATTCATGTTTCAGACATGACAATGACCACTAATACAAATACGACAAGAAGGGAACTCAGACTTTCAAAGGCGTGAACAACCAGGATTTGTCTGTCTCCTTAACAAGCAAAAAAGTCTGTCCTCTCCTTATTATTTATGTATATATAGATTAGCATTTAGTGTACTGTCTTCTAGCTATTCCCAAATAATTCCTGCTCCACTCTCTTCACTGTATTTACACATTTCGCAATATCTGCACTACCTGTCTCCAGCCAAGGCATAGATTGCTACTGACATATGTAATGTGAACAGAATAATGCAACCTCCTTCCCCCACCCCAGTAATTTCAGTGCTTCTTCTAAAAAAATGACAGTTCTCTTGGTAAAGTGCAACAGATCAGATGGTGTTAGTTAAGTAAAATTCTAATTCTACTGCTTTGGTCTTTTCCTTCCTGCCTTAAACCATAGCTGAGAAAGTGTTCTTCTTTATCAGTGTTTCAGAACTTCTGTTTTATTTTCAGGAGCAGTTTTCCTTTAGCATTTAAGGTCTTCCTTTGATGATACCATTTCACTGAAAATTTTTTCTTACCAAATGCATTATAAGATGCAAGCTTAGTATCACCTGCAGTCACTATGGCACACACAGTGATTAACAAACAGAACACAGATCAAAGGCAAGTGATGTGCATGACATGCAGCTGGCAGAGAGCCCTCCTGCGATGCCACATCACGTGGCCGGCCCAGCGTGAAGTGACAAAGCCACTAGGCAAACCTCCTTCATGCCTGCCCACACTCAAGACGACACCAAGTATCACTACTTTAAGAAACAAACCCACCTGAAGAACTGCCTCTTGCGTTTTGGGTCCTGAATGCCTCTGGTCAGAGCTTCCAACTTTACCTTACCAGGGGTGCAGCAAGGGGTTTGGCGCTCATGGGTGGCTCTGACTGGAGGCACCCGTCACCAGCAACAGGGTGACGATCCTGGGGTGACGATCCTGCCCTTCAGCAGCCAAACCCTCCATCTGGCTTACCCACACTTGCAACGCACTCCTGCCTTAGTTTTGCCTTCGCACCCTGGGATATCTTTCACGCAGAAAAGCGACCCTTTTTCCTTTTTTTTTTTTTTTTTCTTTTCTTTGTGGGGGGAGGCGGGGAGCGGACACACACATACGGGACGCTAAAGGAAGGAGAAGCGACGGCGGCAAGGTAGCTACTGAGGAAAAGGGGCGCAGGGACTTACTGTGGTCGTGTTGCCTTCAGTCACCTCCACGACTACAAAAAAAAGAAAAAAAAAAAAGAGATGGGAGGACAAAATGAGACTCATTCAGCCTAGAAGAAACAGTATTTTCGGGGGGAGAGGCTGAAATACAGTGAACGCAACCGCTTCTCCCGATCGCGGTGAGCTAACGGGGCGCGGG